TCCACAAAAACATGGTCAATTTGATTGATTGTGTTACCGTCTGGGCTAACGCATTGAGGTTGCAAGGGGTATTAAGCGTGTTCCATTGTTGTGCGACTCGTTATGGAGGCTATATTTTCCAATGGTGGGTAGGTAATCCAAGACTCAACAGAGCAGAAACAAAGTTTATACTGTGTTGGGTGGCAGCTATAGTACATTGTATATTTCTTTTTCTCGAATATTTTTTATTCCGACCACCTAACTTCTTGAAGCGCTATGATGTCTATGTTATATTTATCCAGGATGTCAAGGAGTTCCCGCAATGCTCCAGTTCTATATAAGGATCTCACATTTCACGTACTTAATTGTAACTCTTTGTCCTTTTTCTCGCCAAGTCGTCGTCTAGATTTCAGTTCACTGCGGAACTCCTCAAGGAGTAATTCTGACTCAGTTATTTTTTCTTTTTCTATGTGAATCACTCGCCTGTGTTTTTTAAAGGCTAGAAAGACCTATTCATATATGCCGATGACATCAACACGATAGGATCCGCGGGATCATTTGATCAAGTGATTTAGAAAGTAAGAGATATAATTAGGTTATTCAAAAATTAGTGTGATAAAAATGGATCAGTCTTTGAATGAAAATATCGGTGCAAAATATTCAAACTAAGGTTTTGAAAAAACTTCGGAAAAAAAGTCGGAAAGAGTCCACCTTGTGCCTATTTAAACATCATATTGTAAATAAACATTATGCATGATAAAAATAATCATTGTGGTTTTCTGTTAAATTTTCAAGACAAAAAAATCTATACAGCTTGGCCGATTACTAGAAGGGGAAGATGGAGTTGAATGGATTCGAGTGATATGAGTATGGGCGTTCCAAGAGTTTGTCGCGAAAACAACTTTGGGAAATGGTCGGCGTCATTTCCTCTAAAAATTTAGACTGTTTCTCATTCACTAGTATTTTCTCAAGGCACTTTCTTAACCAATTTTCTCATTACATTAAAGGATGTGCTTAATCTTGCTCTTTTTTTGTGGCAGTTGTCATTAAAAATTCTAGGGTAATATCTCCAAGTTCATTCGTACATAAAAATTAATACTTAGGTCATGAAATCCAAATTTCCAGCGATAAACAAATCGCTAAACTATAAAGAGAAAAATTACTTTAGCATGGGACGCATAAAACGAAGACGTTCGATCAATATGTACTTCCGTACTTCCAGTCATGACTTACGGCGCTGAAACACTTTTCCTAACCCAGGCCACAGCAACCAAACTCAGAGTAGCCCAAAAAAGAATGAAACGGTCGTTACTTGGACTGACTCTCAGATATAGGGTTAGAAACGAGGAAATAAGTAGAAGGTCTGGCGTCATGGATGTCATAGTATGGCTGAAGTGGAACTGGGTGGCTCATTTGACCTGAATGAACGGGCGGGGGATCCAAAACGATGGTCAGACGACATCAAAATAATCGATGGAAACTGGTTTGAGGAAACTCAAGACCGACAGAAGACGTCACCCGTTTTTATCGTATTTGGAATACGATAGAGAAGACTAAGTGATCAATGTCCAATAAGAAATTAGGTAAAATAATTATTGGTTCGTTTGAATTGGCACTTATAGTAGGCTTAAGGTCTGGACCGTTATTTTGTCCATTGCGATTTGGTTTTTTGTCTTCACATATTCCCATTTTCATACCGCTCCAACCTACGATACGATACTTTGTTACTAATATTGTAGCATTTTTTCATATAAATTTCCTAAGGTTTGGTTAAAATTTCGAACGATAATAAGCATAATCTAAATGTTTATTTATTAATAAATATTAATGAATAACCGCTTAAGATCGAATGTTGAGGAAACAAGTTTGAAACAAATTTTGACCATACAGGTATCGGTGGAGTGTATCAGAGGTGTATTGTTTAGTTTCTTGTATGTTTAGATATTTAATAATTAATGTATACATGACCACGGTAAATTCTTGATTTTTGTCTTCATTTGTTTTATTCTAATAACATCTATTAACATTTTCAAACCGAATATTCACCTGGTCATTAAGAAAAATAATGATTGAATTCATATATAAATACATGGTTTAGAAATGTAATAGTCTTCTATGTAAATTTCTGTTTCCGTATTATCCAATTTAACATCTGACCAGTTTGTTATTGACCATCATGAGTTTTTGGTTGATCCAACAATAAACATAGCTAGTAGGCAAACGCTCCGTATTATTTTTATTTTCTTTAAAAATCATCTCTTTCCTTGAACAAGAAATAAATAATTCTAATAATTTTTACTAAAGTGTGGTTGTTTCCGTTTCTTTAGATATATGCCGGTTTAGAAAAAGACTAAATCTATTTGTTACTTTTTTATGAATACTTCAATATCTAAGATCCTCGAGTTTTCCTTGTCACTCAGTTCAAAAGATAAGGTGGTGCCCTTTTTATTTACTTAAATTTTTTAAAGCCATGACCTCACCCTGATAACAAAAATAAGGCTCCTTAAATGTTACGTATACTCAGTGCTTCTGTATGGAGTAGAAACGTGGACATTGAAGGCGGAAACTCTATCAAAACTTCAGGCGTTTGAATTATGGTTATACAGAAGAATCCTTAAGATACCATGGACAGACAAAGTCACCAATAAAGAAGTACTGCGGAGGATGAACACAACCGCGGATTTGGTAAACATTGTGAAGAGCCGTAAGCTGGAGTACTTGGGACATATTATGAGAAATCAAGGCAGATACGAGCTACTCCAATGTATTTTGCAGGGTAAAATTGAAGGAAAAAGAGCTCCAGGACGAAGAATATCCTGGCTTGCTAACCTGAGAGCATGGTATAGAAAGACCTCAACACAGCTATTTCGTATAGCAACCAACAAAATTATCATAGCCAGAATGATCACCAACGTTCGGAACGGACAGGTACCCTAAGAAGAAGAAGAAATTTTTTATCTACTTCCCGTTCAGTTAGTATGATTCTATTTATTATATTTCTGACTTGGTTTTAAATAAACCGTTTCAGTATCCCCAGTCTAGATCTGTCGACCGACTTAACAACGCTCGCCGTTGTGCCCTTTATAACATCTGAGAGCCGCTAGCTTTGTGGACCTCTTTAGCCCTAGGTTTCTTCGTTTAATAGAAATTCAAAGACAAATGGTGTTTTTTTAGAGGTATAGAAATGTAAGTTGGCAACACTTTTTTAACTGGTGGCCATTTTGACAGCTGTCAAGTGATTTATGTTTAATTTGGTATGGCATTTTAGCATGAATTGACTGACGCCTGAACACCCTTTCCAAAATGTGAAAATTTATTTTGAAAATCATGGTTCTATTCGAAATATGTATCGGACACTACGTCCATTTTATGGTCAACATAATCGTCCATCCGAGCAATTAATTTGATTAACCATGGAACGTTTTCGCACCAGGTTAACTCTAAACGATAATATGCATCCACAGAGACGTCGTACAGTGCGTACAGAAAAAGCTGTTGCTGATGTAGAGTGTAGCACAGAGGAAGACCCGAATCAGACTATCCGCCATCGTGCACAGCAGTTGGATATGTGTCCACTCACTTTATAGAAGATTTTGCGTAAAGATCTTGGTTTGCGTGCTTACAAAATCCAACTCATGTAAGAATTGAAGCTACACGATCACTTAAGCCCAAAACGAGATTACCGTTGATCCCGATTTTCATAAGCAAATTTTATTTAGCGATGAAGGTCACTTTTGGTTGAATGGCTATGTCAACAAACAAAACTGTCGTATTTGGAGTGAAGATCATCAAGTATATGTTGTGAGACAATTACATCCAGAAAAACTCACTGTTTGTTGTGTTTTGTGAGCTGGTGGATTCGTTGGTCCGTACTTCCAACACCGGACAAAAATGATGCTTGTCAGAACGTTACAGTCAATAGTGACTACTATAGAGCCATGACTACTGACTTTTTTATTCATCATTTGAACAACCATGATGTGTTGGAGCTCTGGTTTCAACAAGACGGCGCAACATATCACACAGCTCGTGCCACAATTGATTTATTGAAAGAAACGTTTGGTAACCACATAATTTCACGTTCTTGAAGATCTGTATCCAAGATCGTGCGATTTAACACCGACGGACTATTTTCTGCGGGGATGTGTAAAGTCATGAGTCTACTCCGATAAGCGTGAAATAATTGACTACTTAGGGAGAATAACATTCGTCGCGTTATTGCCGATATACGGCCACAAATGTTGGAAAAACTCAACGAAAATTAGACCTCTAGATTAGACTACGTCAGAGCCAGCCGTGGCTGTCATATTGTAGAAATCATATTTAAATTATAATGCCAAAAGATTATCTTTTCAATAAAGTCAATTTCATATCAATTTAAAAAATCGTATTTGATTTATTCAAATTCAAAGTTCTATACCTCTAAAAAGACACCCACATTAGAACCCCTTGTATTAATTTTCACCTTACCTAAGATAGTAAAAAACTTCTGGGCCTCCTTTTTACCCATCCAGGTTTATTTTACGTTATAATCTCACCATCATTGATTTTACTGCAACATTCGGAATTACCAAAAAAATGCCCGATATTGTTCTGCCTAGCTGGCGATTACTATATCTGCGAAAGGTGGCCACATCTGCATAATAATTTGCCATCCCTTGTTGAGAGAGGAATGGAATACATATCTGGTAGGCCTTTTAGGTCACTTGTCGATATAGTCCTGTAGTCACTCAACACTTTAGTTTTCGTAGTTTTGTTAATATCTTTTTGTATTTATCGAAATAGGACATTCAATCCATATAGAAGCTCAGTCTCTCAGAGTGGAATGTACAATATTCGGACAATGTACTATTTGGCTTAATTTTCATTATTGCCGATGTTCCAGTTAACGAATTTTAGAATAGTTTAACGTAACGTCTATTATCTAGAAATAGTTTTTATATTTACCAATATGTTTACTATCATAGTATTGTGGATATATAAATAAATTTTTTTTATGACTCAAGTAAATGAAACAACAATAAAAATAAATCTTATATGTATTAAAGCTTAGAAACAGTACTTTTAAACACCTAAATTTAATATCAAACATCATCACTGGATTCCACCACTAGGTTAGTAGCAGAGCTCCTACAGAAGGGACAATATCCATTTTGTAACGTCTGCAACTCAAAATCATCAACATGGAAACATTTGAAACAAAAATCACACATGCTAATGTGTAATTCTGGGAGAAGGTTTCGAAAATATTGATGGCGTAGAGGCATGGGCCATCTACATATTAAAACACTGGAAGTGTCTAAAGACAAAAGAGTTTTTCTACCGACTGTTATCGGTTGGAATTCACTGGTTTTGATAACTTTGGTTGTAAAAGGGTCTAATTCTTCTTCGGATGAGGTATCCAATTGTAAAGTTTGCTGAGTTTCGGATATGTTTTCCCTCCAATTTTCTTCTTTCTTTTCGATAATTGGTGTCTCTAAAATACAAAGGTTAATTAATATATTAGATTAGACAGAAAACTGTTTTCATATTACTTTGCAGCCATGTTTAGTTAACTTATGCGAATACTGCATATTCTTTCAGTACAAGAATATTCAAAAATGTATCTAAATTAGCAAAAACTAACAGCAACAATACCACCAAAATTTCAAGTAATATGGTACCACCTACCAAATGATTATTATATACAAATATATTTCCTGAATTACGAAAGAATATCAAAAATTAGTACAACCTATACGAAACTGAGCAAATGGAAAGTTGTGAATAAAATTTGAATATAGAAAAAACAATTCCAATTTCCAGGGAATAATCAGAAACTAAGTAATAAAACAGAGAAACCATAATAGTCAAATAATTACATGGAGATTGTAAAAATTATTGAAAGATGTGGACTATTGACATATCGTGGACAAAATAGTAAAAACATAGTTAATAGTACTTCAAATATACTAACAATAGTTTTGAAAATTAGAATAAAAAAAAAGTGAAATTATACATATACATACAATAAAAATCAACACAACAAAAGTAAAAAGATCAAGATATGTGTCAAATTAAAGCTTTCTCTTGAAGGATTTTAGGCATAATCTCCACCTCTGGCTAGTAAGCGTTTTCCAAGATAATTGAGAAAAACCCACAACTAAAAAGAATAGAATATACCTACATAGAACCATTGTTTAAATATGACTAGTTAGACAATCCTTATGGAACAAAAGTTTGACTTTTAATCTGCCGTCATATGGCGGCCTCTAGTCATAAATTTTAAAAACTATTAACAGAAACTTAATTCTGTGCAGGATTCTACTCGAGTATATTTTTAGCTGTCTGATAACTAATGCAAACCTGTACACGGATGCCAGATTGTGAAGAATATATAAGACTTAAATAAAATGCTTATTGTTATTATCGTATACCTCTTATGAAAGATAACTTGACTATTTCGAACGAATATTTCAAATTGTTTTTATACTTTGAGACTTGCTACATCTAAATCGGTCAGTAATTTAAATGAAGTAGGTAAATGCTGCATTTTTTGTTTAATTTTTATTAGTTTACCAGATATTTAATTTGGTTATATGATTTGTTAAAAAATGATTAAATATTTAATTGAAGTATACTCGATTGCTATACTCGATTGTTATATCGTCTTAGAACACTCATGCGGAGTTTTATTTTTTAGTCAAGACTTAAGTTTTATCTTTGTTTAAAAAAGAAAATCTTTTTAAACAATGGTTTTATGTATGTTTTGAAAAAATAAAATTTTTACCTTTTACTTTTAATCTTTATAATGACGATTGAAAATATAGTAAATTTATGGGAATGGTTTTTTGATAATGGTTTTGAAACAAATAAACAGATCGATATGCCACAACAAGAGGCAACACATATTTGGGGACAAATTAATCTATGTGTTGGGATAAAAGGAATAATAATTAACAAAACTTTAATAAATAGTAGCCTTTATTTTATTTATTTATGTATTTTACAATATACACACCATTTCTGCTTATATTAATGAGAATGTTTTTTTTTTCAATCAATTCGCCCGATCTGAGCTGTTTATTAATGAAATAATTTTAAATTACAAAGTGATAGATATTGCAAAAATTAAATTCGCATTATTTTAATAGTTATATAACACTTATAAAAATTCTAATATCTACACATAAACAATATTAACAAAATAATAATTCAAGGTAAAAAACAAAACAAAATTGTTTACATTAATAGTTATAGAAATTGATTCTAACATTGTTTTCATGAACTAAAATAAGCAATTTATGAGTAGGATATATGTATGAACCAGCAATACTAATTTAAAAAATATTAGATCGTGTACAATACAGATACGTAAGAATATGTTTAACTACAATGGTATCAACTTCAACAAACGTTATGCTAGCAAAGTGTAATGAAACCCATTAGAATTACATAGACAACTATTAGCACAAAAATACTGTATAAAGATGAGAAACACTGAGTCAGACCTTTTAACAAAAGTGTATGATAATTATGATATCTTTTTTCTTGACCAATGGTGATAACGGCATATCTATAAGATCATCAACAAAATCGTCAAGTTCAGAATCACATCACTGTGCGAAACAGTATTGGCACTTGTTGATGGTTGTTTTGCTATCGAATATGTATGTAAAACGCGTGGTGTCGTTAACGAACCTTCCTCTTCTACCTCACTATATTTTTTTGGTATAGCAGTAGTGGGTAAATATTTTGCATTTAGATATTTTTGGTCAAAATGCTTACTGCATAGAAATTTTTCTTTTCACTCGGGTAGCTCCAGACTTTCCAATACAACATTACCTACAACAATATTATTATTAACACAACTGAAAAATAACCAACTTTCTGCACAATAACTTTTTAAGCACAATAAAGTAAATAAAGTAAAAAAAAATACACACTATAAAGTAAAGCACAATAAAGTAAAAAAAAACAATTTAAGTTCTATATTCAAAATATAAATAATTTGGCAGTTGCAGTATGCCAATATATGTTTACCCACGAAGGAAGCTAAGCTACCTGAGAAAAGGAATGTCAAACGTGTGTTAATGCGGGTTAATAGTAAAAGAAAGGTAGAAAGTATCGGCATCACTCGCAGCAAAGGAAAAAAAATAAAAATATGTGTATAATATGATCCTTTCGCAAGTTAATATGCTCCATTTCTAACTTTGCTGCGCGGTACTAAAAACGACCAATAGTCAGAAATACACACACGTATATATTATATATATATATATATATATATATATATATATATATATATATATATATATATATATATATAGTTGCCTTCTATCTTATACCACATATTTATCATATTGTTTTCCTTTGTCATATACATATATATATATATATATATATATATATATATATATATATATATATATATATATATATAGTAGTTCTGAGTTTTTATATTAATATAATTAATAACTAATTTTATATTATATATATATATATATATATATATATATATATATATATATATATATACATTGGAAATGTGGGTTCATAGACGAATGCTGAAGATACCTTGGACAGCAAGAAAAACTAATGAAGAAGTACTAAGGAGCGTCAACAAAGACAGACAACTGCTAAAGACTGTTAAACATCGAAAAATGTCTTTCTGGGACATACAGTAAAGGGAAGTCGATATAAAATTTTACAACTGATCCTTAAAGGCAAAATAGAGGGCCGTAGAGGTGTAGGAAGAAAACAAGTTTCTTGGTTAAAAAACATTCGTGATTGGACCAAATACAGGACAATTATTCCATATTGCAGAAGATCGAGAAGCCTTCGCAATGGTGATCGCCAACATCTGATAGTTCTGATATGGCACGCGAAGAAGGAGATATATATATATATATATATATATATATATATATATATATATATATATATATATATATATATAGGTATGTATGTATTCCCAATGAAAACATAACCAAAATCATTTTTATGGATTTTTGTTCGGTATTGTTATGTCGAAAATTTATTTACACAAAGTACCTCAACAACTATTCCCATTGGTACAGGAACAATAATATTAAATATAGAATAAATAATGAGAACAAATAATAATTATATCACTTTAACTAATGTCCATTAGGTTAAATCTTGTGGTAGAGTTAAGCGGTTTTTATAAACTATCTAGTTTTTGTTATGTCTGTAGGGTTGTTAAGCAGTTCCTTAGAGTAGTTTTCAAGTGCAGTGCTTTATACAGGTTGGTGAATTGTTTGCGTCGGTAAGGTGTGATTGATTCGTAGTCTTCTAATAGTCGACGCTTCTCTTGTAGTTAGGAAGTCCAGGGAGAGATGACCAATAAAAGATTGAAGTTTATGAAGAGTTGTTTTGCTTTTTTGCTATAATATTTGTCAAGTATCCTCTACTGACTTTTTTAAAACGAATTTCGAGATTCGTTAGCTAGTTGAATTGGAGGGACTTTAGTCACCCCATGGTTGGTAGCTTCTTTGGCAAAATGATCTGCTGTTTTATTACCAGTTATTAAGGTGTAAGAAGGCAGCCATAAGAGAGAGACTGTTACATCGTAAGTACAAAGATTTTGGTATATGTCAAGAATGTTTTGAACTAATAGGTGGTCAATGAATACCTGTGCAACCGTTGCATGTTAAGTGTAACCGAGATGATTTTATAAGTTCATTTTTAGTGGTTACTGCACGACCAATACCAGTGGTAGCTTTAGAAGCATCTCTATCGAGAATTAATTTCTAAAAATGCTTTCTTTATAAGAAGGTTAGAAGATTCAAGTTTGTTAAAAATGGTGAGTGAGGTATATTGAAGGGAAATCTTTAGCCCAAAGGGGAAGTAAAGGTAGAGGAAATGAACTAGTCAGAAGGAGGTCAATATTTTTAAGTAGTGGAGAAATTAATTGAGGTATAGATTTTATGATAAGGTGTTGGTTATTGTTGGTGGAAGAAGACAGCATTGCGGCAATTAGGGAATGGCCGGGATTAAAGGGATTTACGGATGTTGATGCAGCATACGAAAGTAGAGTAGATTATCGTCTTAGGGTAGGTGAAACTTCATTAGATTCATGGTATATACTCCCAATAGGACTAAAGCGAAAAGCGCCTAGACCTAGAAGTGGTTTCATTGGCACCTCATTGAAGATGACTGAGGGTTTTAAAAATGTTCAACCTTTTAAAACAATTGGTACAGAGATTTTATTCTTTCAATTTAATTTGATGTCAAACATAAAACCTAGAATTTTACATTAATTAACAACAGAAAGTGGAGAATTGTTAAATAAAATTTGGGGTAAGGGAGTGGAAATCCTTCTGGAAAATTTTATTACTGTGGTTTTGCTCTGAGAGAGTGATAATCCTAGTTCGTTAGATCTATTTTAAAGTAGATTTACTGCACTTTGTATAAGTTTATATGAGGTTGGGACAGATTTAACATGGCAGTAAATGATTAGGTCATCAGCGTGTT